GCAGAGGAGAAATTATCTTTTTTTAAATCAACAGATTTCACCACCTGCTTTCAAATGGAGACGATGGTCTGACTATAAAGGTTATTCAAACTGTGCCAGTACTGCTTCTACCTCTCCTCTGGCTGCAAATTTCTGGACAGTATTGAATCACCGGCAAAATGATTCAGCCCTGAAGGGTAAATCCATGGGAAAGTTATTTAAACTTCCTCCTGTGAGCTCTTGTGAAACCCACAACAGGTGGATATTGGCCAAACGCTGACCAGGCTATTTTATAAAGATCAGCTTGTTAATACAACAGCTGATGCTGTAGTTGCAGAAAATAAGGCAACAATGTTGAGTCGGAGAAAATAAACAAAATTCACAGTGAAAGCAGTCACTTTATAATAAATAATGACAACAGCAGGTCTGAACAACTGAAGATTGGGGGTGCTTCCACAGAGTTAAGGGAAACAGCAGAACAAATATTTTCCTTTATCAAGTTACAGGAGCTTTCAATGGGCACGATTCACACAGAACCTGCACAAAGCAGAAAACTGCACTCAAGTCCTACTTGTAGTCAAGCAGGTTTTAAGAGGCAAACAAACGTCAAGTCCTGAACAGAAACCCCTTTTATATTAAGATTTTTATACAACAAATGCTTCTCCTTGAACAAAGGAGAGGCTGTACTGGCTTGGCATACCCTACAGAAGGTTCCAACCCATCATTATCATGACCTAAGGTGATCTGGGCTGTAGGCAGGTTGTCAGGCCAGAAGGAACACCTTGGATCCAGGATTCCTGCAAAGGAGCTGCCAGTGAAGCTGAAGAGGAAACAGCGATGCACGTTCCCAGCCTGCCCTCAGCTCATTCCCCTAATGCTTCATTAGCATTTCCTCCTCCTCCCATCAGACACTACAGGTTTCCCTGCAGTTCCCAAAGGCCACATCACCCACTATTCCCAGAGCCACCAGCGCTTCCAAAGGAGGTATAAAGCCCTGGGAAATGACGATGGCAGAGATGAGGGCTGCACTCCCTGCACTGATGGAAAAAAAAAATAGATCAAATTGCAGGCACAGGTGAAAAATTTTGTCTCCTGTACCATGGCGTGCCCAGCAGACAGGAGTTGAGCTGGGGAACCACAGAAACGATGTGGGAGTGGAAGTGTGTGGGAGTGTGCATCAAGGAGTGCAGTCTTCCTGCCCTGCAACTTAACACCCCCAGAAAAGGGGTGACTCCAGGCCTGTGCAGAGCAAAATATGGGTAATTTTAAAACTTATTTATTATTTAACTGACTCTACAGAGTATCAGTTGCTACTCATCAGGTAGCCCCAACTGGGTAACATCCATCATCAGCTACAGTCCCTCAGACCACACCTGGGGAAGACAGGTATTAGGCATTAATTAAAGGCATTGCATGAGGTGAAATTCAGGCATGGAGGACACCAGCAAGGTGAGGACCAGACCTGAAGCTTGGCCAAGCCAGCAGTGGAAGCCAAAGCTGGGGACCAGCACTGAGCACGGGGAGCCAGTGAGCTCCTTGCTGCACATTTGTCAGGAAAAAAGCAGTATCTATATTTAGCACAACCATGTCTCCTAGTATGAAATATTGATGGTCCTTTCTTGGCTGTGCAAGGAAGAAAGAGTAATTAGCCACCCCTCAAGTCACTGGAGAAAACACATAAAAAATTTCAGGCCTAAGTGAGCACCCCCAAGCATCTTTTTTCTTTTCTGTTGTGACTGATGTAGGTTCCCATGTACATTCCCACTGTATTTACTACACAAATGGGTTTCATAGAATCACAGAATGGTTTGGGCTAAAAGGGACTTTCAAGATCATCTAGTTCCAACCCCCCCTGCATGGGCAGGGACACCTCCCACTAGACCAGGCTGCTCAAAGTGCTGTCCAACCTGCCCTCGAACACCTCCAGGGATGGGGTTAATAGAAAAGCATCTTCCTTCTCCATAGGGCTTTCATGAGAACAAAAATATACTGGAGATTTTGAGGAATTTGCAGGCCTCTGGATGCAGAAAAGATCTTTTAGTTACCCTGATCCCTTTTTAGGTTGTCCCTGTAGTGCCTGGGCCAGCAAAGAGCTCTGGGGTTCCCCTGGAGCACCCTTAAATACCAATAGCCCCGCAAGGGACGCTTTTAGTGAGCAGTGATGGCAACTCTTCTTGAGATGCCACATGGGAAAGAGAGGGAAAAATAACCTTTCCTTTCTGAACTAGGGAGGCAATTCAGTGAGGTACAATAACCTTTATAATGGAGAGAGAAAAAAAAAAAAAAAAGAGGAATGACGTACTTGAAAGTTTCCCTTGGAGCAACAGTTAAGCACAGACTTTTCCAGCACCAAGAGCACGCCAGGCAACTCGCCAAGCACCCCGGGGGCTGAAATGAGTTTGCATCTAAATTTACATAGCTCTTCAATCAGATAAAATGCACACCCTTTAAGAAAAAAAATGCCAGCAGTGCTTGACAAACCTTCAGGGCAAGAAATGCTGGGAGAGGATGAGGAAGAGTACAACTCGCACAGCCTCCCGAAATCCTGCTCATGGAAATGAGGTGAAGACCATGAAGGGACTGGCCTCTCTTCTCCCTGCTCAGATTGAGTTGATAAAAGCTGAGCATGGCAGAAAAGCAACCTCGAGGCTCCCAGCAGCAGCAAAGACACTGTTCAGAGGTCACTCTGGGAGTTTTTAAACCACTGCTCAAACAGCTCATAAAATTTCTTACTCTTCACTGGAAGGTCAATGGGCTACAAAGGAACTTCTTAAAGAAGCTGAAAAGTTAGTAAAGGAGAAGTGAGCCAAGCCAAGGCATTGTCTTTGTTTTAACATCTCCTGTGAACAAGGTCACAAGCTGCAGGTTGAATCTTACTCCGGTATTAGAGATTGAGAACTTTGGTGTGAGGTTTTCACTTGTGAGAGACATTAAAAAATCACCTGCTTATCCATTAGAAATCCCCCGAGCTGGTCCACAACAGGTACCCAGCCTCACAAACACCTCTTTTTGATCCAAGTTTATAGCTTACTTCACTGAAAGAGGTTCTTTCAGGTTCCCTAGAGAAGTTTGAAGCTGCAAAGAGCTGCAGGCTACAGTTTTCAAAAGCAGTTTGGTGTTTGCAGTAATTGGGGCAGACAGCTACCCAGCCAGGAATACTTTTTGGTTGGAGGGATTGTGCATTTGTGTGGGATGCAAAACAGTCAATTTTTCTTTTTCTTCTAGGCTTTTTAATCCCTTGCACTGGCATTAAAAAGTGTCTCCTGCAGACAAAAGATGCAGCTACAGGAACGTATTATCCGCTAGCAGAACAAGCTCCTAGCAAAGTTCCTGATCTTCCCCTGCTCCCAAGCTGCAGTTCAGCTGTGCCAGTACAACTGCACTGTCAACAGGATCACTGAAATAATTCAGGGCAGTAATAAAAATCTCCTTTGTTTTGGTTGTG